CTGCTGATATTGTTTCTGAGGACTAGGTATCTTTGCTTCAGCATTTCAAGAAGGTTTTGCTCTTGCATCTCACTGTAGTCATGCCTCATCTTTTGTCTTTCCTTGGTGATTTAACACAAAAATACATGATCAAAAATGTCTTTCTGAAAAGCAACCTGATAAGCAGGAGCAATGCAGTTGTTATCAATCTGTAGTTAAGACATGTTAAACAGTAGATGGTGGTGGGGAGTTCTGTTAGATAACAGATGCTGATGTTAAAGATCACTTATTAGGTCACTGATCTTTTAAAGGACGTGGGGAAGGGACAAACCTACCACTTCATGGAGTAAAGGTGACCAGCATGTGGAAGAAAGAGATTAAGCTCTAGGTATCTTTTCTCTACTTATGTCTAGATGTCAATGAGTGTGAGATCTTTGGAACATGCACCCAGGACTGCCAGAATTCCAAAGGAAGCTATGAATGTTTCTGTGCAGATGGCTTCAGGTCTGTGGGTGATCAACAAGGAAAACAGTGCGCAGCTAATGGTATGTTAACTGATAGCAAGATTGATTGCTACCTGTAAAGAGGAAGTGGAGTATAGCAACTTAATGAATATAATTGTCTCTTTTTTAGGAAGGGGATAATGAAAACCAGACTTTATTCTGTAACATAATATTATCTGTGTATTCCACCCATTCCATAAGGAATAGAAGTGCTCATCTCTGCTTCCAATTGTAAACAGTAAAAATAATATCTTGATTTGGATGCCTGCCTTCCTTTCTCCTGAAATTTTCTGCAAACAAAAACCTGCTTATCCTGTGGTTGTCATCAGAAGGAAATTCATGTTGCCTATTCCTGAAGTTTAGGTTTTCTCTGCAAAATAATGCATCAGAAGAAAGTTGCATTAAACTGGTACAAATCGAAGGCAGTTTGATGACAGATTGCCATTCATTGTTCATGGGCTGATGCACACAAACAGAAGGACTTTGGCCAATGTTTAACATCAGTCATTAGCTTTTTATCATACCTCAGTGCAGTGACTACAGTGTGTGACAAACAGTGAATAGGTACAGAGTTGATTCAGAAAATAACAGTAATAGTATAGTAATAATAAAGAGCTGAAGAAAATAGAAAAAAGTGACAATGCAGCAGTATTATATAAAAGACAAACAATACTGTATTTGGAAAAGTACTTACATTTTAACAGATGTAAGAGATACATGATAGAAATGTGGTGTGCCTAGTCAAATAGTAAAATCTTCAGAACAGAATGTCTGTGACCAAAAGTGCATGCTGCTGGAGGTTTTGAAACCTAAAAATTATTTGTTATATGAGAAATGATACAAGAAAACCAGGTCTCCGGGTTTCCAGTCCAGGGGCCTAATTCAGCAAATATTTACTGTTAAGCATGAGACTGGAAATACAAAAGGGCATTTGCATCTCAGTTTCTGCCTGGCTACCTCTTTATGTGCCTGTGTCAGAAATCTAGTTCTTTGAAACCCTTCTTCATAGGCTTTATTCAGGACACATCTGGACACCCAAAGTTTTCAAGGCTGAGTGATAGAAGATAACATGAAGATAACATGACTGTAGCTGATAACATCATGAAATTTGTTGTGCCTGAAGTTCTACTTCTGTGTACGCCCAGAATTCTACCACTCTCTATACTCAAGCTCACAGCACTCATAAATGAAGGCTTCCTTTGCCTGTGTCTGCTGCAGGCCTGATCAGTAGGCATTTTCAGAACGCACGTAGAATATTAGGTTCCCTTTTTCCTGTAATAATATATAGATTGAAATGCTGTCAATTTCTACACAGAATTGTATGTTCATCAGAGAATAGAGTCACTTGTCTCATTCTCCCATAGTTGGGCATGACTTAGAGGGAAAGGGATTGTGTTCAAATGAACACTTCATAGGAAATTGAGCATTTTTATTTGGAAAAGGCACTGGTAAATGAGATTTTCCTTTCCCAGGTGAATGCCTTGTCATTTCTCATTGGCTCTGTGAAGATGTGAGTAATGTAGGAGAACTTCTCTAGAAGAAGGCCTAGAATTTAAGTCCATGGCTCCCAACTGGACTTTGTCCTTAGCAAAAGGGCTGAACAATTTAAATTTTCTCACCAGCAAAATCAGCCAGGTGGGACTGATACTCCCTATAGTCAAGTTATTAGAGTATTGAGGCTAACCGCAAATTAACCTGTGGATAGGAGAACATTCATCTGAGTACGGAGACATCAGGATTTAAAAACTTTCAGGTAGAAGAACTCAGACAGGTCATGGCTCAAGGTACCGGCAGTTTATTCGTACTTTCAAAACTGTTTCCTGTACTTTGATGGGGGGGAGCTGAACTGCATAGTGTGTATAGCGGCTTTCTATTTTTGAGATGTGAGGTGGTGATAGGCCAACACTGTAATGTTTAAGAATTTTTAAGGAATTATCCCTCAATGATTACTACTGCACAAAATCTATGGTGAAAAGGATAATACTATCCTCAGTGGTAGGCATTTCCGGAGTTTTTAATGAATTTTGCAAAGCCAAGAGGTTTGAATAGCTCTGAAGCTTTAGAAGTGGCCCTGTGTTCCCTCTGCTTCTTATGCAGACAAAACTTGTGAAAACCCCAGTTTAGTTTTGAGTAGAAGTGACTTTCATCTGTTTCTTCTAAAATGAGAAATACATGAAAGTAAAATTCATGATCATTTCCCAGGTAATCCTCCGTTGTTACTGCTGCCAGATAACGTGCGGATTCGAAGATACAATATCTCATCAGAACAGTACTCTGACTATATTGATAACCAGGAGCGCATCCAAGCTCTGGATTATGATTGGGACCCTGAAGGGATAGGCCTGAGTGAGTATGTGTAGAACACTAATACTCAACCATGCAATGGTCGGTTTAAAAGGATGCATTTCTGTAGCATAGGTATTTAATTTACGCTGGAAATCAAAATCAAATTTGATCAACTGGCCAGGTCTTGGTTGAATGTGTCCCTCCCCTCTACCTGTTCTTCAGCATCAGTATGGTTCCTTTTAATGCTTTAATTTAGTTTAGCTAGATTTTGTTCTATTTTTCCTTTTGTTTTGGTGTGAGTTCAGCTATGGATTTGTGGCTCTTTAGGATTATGCAGTAGTAGAGGATTGCTATAAGTGAACCCTTTCCTTTTCTTCCGCCTCTGCCAGTCCCCAAACCTGGCTCAAGTCTTGCAAGAACTAATCCTTATACTAAACAGAAATGGCCAATAGATCCCTATATTAGCTTATGTCTTTGCCTCTTTATCAGCTTCCCTGCTTTTGCCTTTTTCACAAGGCCACTGTCCTGGGCCATACTTGCTCCTTAGGGTCATGAGAGTCTAAATTACTCTCAAAATCACGTGCAAGGGCTTCAAAGCTAAGACCCTCTTCTCTTGAAAAATGTCATACGTATTTCTTGATAATCTAGATCAAGATGATTTTAGATGTGCATCTTGCCTATGATGAATGGCTTAAAAATTTAATTGAACAGACAACTCTCTGTTATTCCTAAATAAATGGGTCTGGTATCTTCACATAAGAGCCTCAGGAAGATTAGAATTTTCCAAAAATATGGAATAACTAGACATTAAAAATTATCTTTGTCAACTTTTTTGAAGGTATTGTGTACTTCAGCATTCTGGGACGGGGTTCTGAGTTTGGAGCCATCAAACGTGCTTATCTGCCCACATTTGACAGCAGCAGGAACAATCCTACAAAGGAAGTTGACTTGAATCTCAAATACATAGTTAATCCTGATGGGTTAGCTGTTGACTGGGTTGGAAGGTAAGTGCACTGAAAAGCTAGAAAAAATGCCATACATTGAATGTGTCAAGGGTCTGATCAGGCAGTGCAAAATCTTTTCTTCCTTATGAACTGTCTCTGAAGATATCTAGTCTCAAAGTAGTTCAGAAGAATATAGTAAACTCTGTTTACCCAGACAGCAGGTTAATAGGTCAAATGCATGTTGCCGACTGCATCACATATTCTCTGAGGAAACCTGTATTACTCCACAACTGGCAGATCAGTTGTGCATCAGTAAAGTGATAATACATTGGCCTTCATGTCAGATGGATTCTTCTTCAAGGACTCAGGTTAGCTCCAGGGAACAAGATTTCTCTGCTGTTGGAAGGAGATCTTTCCAGTTCATAACGGAATTTGTCTTTTATCTTTGCTCCTTTCTTACCAGCCTTGTGCTATATGAGCTAATCCCAAAGCAGAAGCAGCTCTTAAGTCTGATGAATAGATGTGTTTTCTCAGAAAATGGCTCTATTTTTGTAATTGTGCCTCAGGGTTTTTTCTCCCTCTTGTTGGCTGTGGATTTTTTTAGGCTAAAACATGGCAATTTTTTAACTTAATCCTAGAAATCGTGAGATCACTGCTCCCTTGGAGAAGAGCTGGGAGAAAGTTGGGCATGACTTTTGGGAGTTTGACTCTGATGTCGATGGCGTCGTTTCTTATTTGCAATCTAACTGTTAAAGGATGTGGTGGACAGGCATAGCTGTAGTTCATTTGGTATAATGTTGAGAGGATCCTGGCGTTTGTAGGTAGACACTATGAAATGTAGTCAGGATTCTGTTTGAAGCTGAATGGACAGAGGTTATAGAGATGAGTCAGTCTTCTGAATGCTGTTGACAGATTTTGGATGTTCTTCGTAAGGCAGTCAATAGGGTGAAGAAGAAGGATGTTAAGATCATAGTAAAGCATGATGTTTCTGGAAAGCTGAAAAATGAAAGAAGGAACCTAGGGAACCTAGCTATCTGCTTCCCCTCTGTCACATGGTTATCAACTAAGTGGATGAATGCTTTACCTTTAATGTCCTCAATCAAAATATGATTGGAAGGTGCTTAAAGTCTGGGTTGCAGCTAGGTAGCACTTAACTCTGAATTCTGTTTGTGGCAACAGAGCATTTTTTTCTAATCGTTCAAAAAGCTATTGTATGAGTAGGCAAAGATTGGGAAAAAACTTATTCCAGTTTGGGGCCTGATATGTAGCTTTCATTGTTTAGACACTCTGTGTTAGGTGTTACGTCCTATGAAATAGTTATGGAGTTGCTCATGCAGTATGTCGCCCTGACTTCTAGAGCAGGATAAAGCCAGTCTAGCTGGCTGAAGTGATTCACTAGCTTGAAAAATTGTGCCAGTCATGATGGAAAAAAGGAAGTGGAAAATTGTATCTTTCATTCCAGCAGTTTTTAAATATGGGATGGATGTACTAAGGTCTGGCCTAGCCTTCAGCTTTAAGGTTATTTTGCTATTTGCTTTGTGAACTGCAGGCCATCCGGAAAACCAAATGTCTCTGAGGGCAGAAGGGAGTGTCTGAGTTTCTATTCACAAATCTATATGGTCATGAAAGCAAGGATAAAGGATATATATCACCAGCATCCTGGTGAGGCTAGCACCTTCAGCACTTCAAACATAGTGTTATACTGATTGCAGAACAATGTTGAAACGTATTTTAAAAAAACATATTTAAGTGTCTGCACATTATATAAAAACTGTTACACATGGTTTGAGACACTTAGTCCTTCTTCCCATCTGCAAAATAGGAATTACAGTATTTTCTCACATTCCCAAGCCAATTATGAGATAATTTATTCCATCAGAAGGCACTGTGTGATTAGTGAGAGCGTAATAATGAGTGTGTTTATTATCTAAGGTGAAAAAAGTAATAAAGCCATGACGATAAAGATAAGCAAAATTCAAGGAAGAGCAGATTGAGTGCCCTGTTTGTAAGGACTAAAAGCATTTGCGTCTGACGTGGTAACAATTTATTCATAAACATCTCTGTCAGAAGACAGAAGTCTAGAGAGGAGCTGTGGACTAATAAGCTGGATACCTTCAGAGTTGCCATATAAATGGTAGATAGATTTTTATTTGTAATGAACCTCATTGTCTCCTGGAAAACTGATTCTTTAAAGATGCTTATTAGCCACCTCTGGTGCTTAAAAGTAACAATGAATGTTCTCAGTAGCCCTTCAATGAAGATTATTTGACAGGGAACAGACGCAGGTACAGAAACTTTGTTAGAGGAGAAAACTAGTGAGCCAATTCGCTAAACTCACCTATATTTAGGGTCTGTATGTTCCAGACTGAAAAAGTTCAGATGTAATCAATGCGGCTTCGTTATATTAATTTTGTTCAGGTTTGATACAGCTTTTCTTCTTAAAAAGATTTTTTTTTTTAATTCCTCTCCCAAGTATAAACTATTTAGTTTTGGAATGTTTTGTGTTTTATGTAATTCAGACATCTTTACTGGACTGATGCAGGGACTAATCGCATAGAGGTGGCAAAATTAGATGGACGGTACAGAAAATGGCTTATCTTTTCTCTGTTGGATCAACCAGCAGCTATTGCTGTCAATCCAAAACGTGGGTAAGTACTACAGCACTTCCCAGAATTACTTTCAATGCTATTCAATACCAAAAAAACCCACAATGGTAAACTTTTAGGAAAGACTAAGGGAATGCTTTCTGGAGTTTCCCTTTACTAATGCTAGGAAATTTGTGTATATAGGAAAGTATTTTAAGATTAGATTTCATATGGGTGCTTGCGTTGGTGACAACACCAGGTAGGTCAAATAAAAATCTCCTTTCTACAGTATTGTGCACCCACCGAATTTCTCTTACTACTGAAATGGGGAAATTGATGGGAATGTCTCTTTACCAGCTCCAAGCAATACAGACATAGCCTCCTTCACAGTGGAAAGCAGTGTAAATGCACTGGTACATTCAACAGCTGCGCTTGCTACATCTTGTATTATATGATGGATCACCAGATATCGCGATATGTGCTTCTCTCAGCTGGAGTAAAGCAGCACAGCTCCCTGAAGACACCTGGGCTCTGCAGCTTTATCATGACTGATGGATGTTCAGTGTTCACAGTCATTTTTCTTCCACTGAGGATGAGAAACTGTCATTAAAACCACTCTCTCTCCAAATCAGGACACAAGATGCAAACATTCTTCTTTTGGTATTTATCTTCTGTACTTGAACGAGCTTGTTCAGTGAACTCTGTGACTTTCCTGATCACATCTGCAAAACATAGGTTGCTGAACAGCTTTATGTTCCAGAACTGACCTTTTCCATTGTCATGGTTTAACCTGGCAGGCAACCAAATACCACACAGCCGCTCGCTCACTCCCCTCCCCTCTCCCCCCCCGTGGGACGGGGAGAGAATCGGAAGGGTAGAGTGAGAAAAACTTGTGGGTTGAGATAGAGAGTTTAATGGAACAGAAAAGGGAAAATAATAATAATAATTATGATAATGATAGAATATACAAAAATGAGTGATGCACAATGCAGTTGCTCACCACCCGCACTGACCAATAACCAAGTAACGATCACTACTTCCTGGAACACACCTACCATTCCTATACTGAGCATGATGTCACATGGTATGGAATACCCCATTGGCCAGCTGGACCAGCTTTGCTCCCCCCCCCAGCGCCTCTTTTGTTTTGGTTTTTTTTTTTAAGCTGAATGTCCTTAGCTAGCAGGGTACTTAGCAACAACTGAAAACATCAGTGCGTTATCAACATTCTTCTCATACTAAATCCAAAACACAGCACTAGGAAGAAATTTAACTCTATCCCAGCCGAAACCAGTACATCCATGAAACTCCAAAGGATAATCGTGGTGACCAAATTCTGAACTGTATTAAATTCTGGTTCCGTCCTTTCAGGCTCATGTATTGGACTGACTGGGGAAGGCAGCCAAAGATTGAATGTGCTTGGATGGATGGACAACAAAGACAAACTCTGGTCTCTGAAGACCTTGGCTGGCCAACAGGACTTTCTATTGATTATTTGAACAACGATAGGATCTATTGGAGTGATTCTAAAGAAAATATTATCGAATCCATGAGACCTGATGGGACAGACAGAACCATAGTATTACATGGAGGTAAGAACTTATTATGCAATTAATATAATAGTAACCAAGATGTATGCTAACAAGCACTTGGGCTTCACAAGTGGGGCTAGGTTCGGGAGCTTTTCAGAGAGTAAGTCCTGGTAGTGTTTTCTCCTCCTTTATACAGGGATAAACGGCACACCAGGTTCCGAGCTCATGATGCCTGGTAACTAGATTACCTGGGGGTAATTTACATGACCCAAATAGGGGACCATGTGGAAAATTGGATTCTTGCTTTTTTATGGATATTATTAAGCAGTCCGCAGGTACAGTGGCATGAAGTGGTCAGGCACATAAGGATATGTATATATAGCTGCAAATGTCTTAAAATGAAAGGGTTAGATGATATATTTAAGGTGAAAAAGAGGAGCAGTTTTATCGCTTCTGCTAGAGATTTGCTTGCTGACAGTCTATTGTTTGGTTCCTTTGAGAAGTAGGCAGTCCATACAGCCTTGATGTTTTTGAAGGCCATTTGTATTGGATAGCTAAAGAACGAGGAGAAGTCTGGAAGAAAGATAAATTTGGAAGTGGAGAAAAAGTGAAAGTGCTGACCGTAAATCCGTGGCTTACTCAAGTGCGTGTCTATCACCAGCACAGATACAATCAGTCAGGTAGGTAATCAGCATCCTGGTGAGCCATTTCTTGCTATGAGATCAAAGTTGGTCTTGATGTCTTCAAAGAGCTTAGTAACCTTCTGATAATGCGTCTATCAGTATGTGATAATATTCATTTCTGAAAACCTAAAAATGGAACAGAGGCTGGCAAGTATTTTCTGCATACCCGAAGTAAAATCAACAGTGGAATACCACACACTGCTCTTTAGAGTCTCTTAGTTCTAAGTTATGACCCTGTCCTTTCTTTTCTTCCCCTCCATCATGGAGTTGTCATAGAGGTGGCAGTAACAATATGAATTTATCCTGGTAACATACAAAGTGCTGGCCATTTAATACTGTCTCCAAGGGGGATATTTCAACTATGACATGTCCACAGTAATAACAGGGGAGGATGTCCAGAGGAACATCCAGCATACCCCTCTTTAAAGGTGTCTTAGCTTTCAGAATGAGAAAGTTCTATGTTGCTTTCTTCTTGGTGCTACGCTGGCTCCCAACAGCCATAGTCTTTCCCTTAAGAATATAAGAAAAGGCAGAGAGAAGGTTTTCATATAAATGTAGTATTTAAGCATCAGTTGTTTTAAAAAATTGATCTAGACTTGTTTAGATTTTTGGTGTGTGATATTGATGAGAGACACTACTGACTAGGGAATTGCCCTGTCTTACCTCGGGAATATGCTGCATTGCTTCTTCAACTGTCTTTATCACTTTTTTTTCAGTGCCTAATCCTTGTAAAGATGTCTGCAGCCACCTCTGCTTGCTGAGACCAGGAGGGTACACCTGCACTTGTCCTCAAGGGACTCGATTCATAGAAGGCAGCAGCACAGAATGTGATGCAGGTAGAATAATTTGTCAAACTGGAAATGAAAGCAAAGGAAGCTTTTCTTTAGGCATGCAAATGCATTACTGAGTTAGAAATATGGAGGGATGAGTTAGCTGATGTAATAGAGGTTGGTAAGTCAGGACATCCGGCTTTTATTGTCTGCCATCACTGATTTGTGGTCACGTTGTGCATTTCGTTTAATCTCTTTGCATGCCATTTGTAAAATGGATATGGATATATCACTCCAACCAGTCCAGACCCAGCTGCAAAATTGGTCACAGTTTCTGATTTTTTGTTTTGAAACTCAAAATATTTTATTTTCTTTTTTTTCAAATGCATTGATTTCAGAACTAGAGATTTTCTGACAAATTATGGTTTACAATTATGTTTACAATTCTGTACAAGGTATTGTTCAATCAGTATAATACAATAGAAACTTGAAACAAAGCTTACAGAACTCACAGTCTGAACAGAGATAACTTCTAGATAATTATCATATGCTGGAAAGCCTTTTAAGCACTAGGATTTAGTGCTTGGTTGTTGCATTGCAGCAGAGCCCCCACAGTGCTTCCAGGAGCGCCAATAAAATAGAAGTGCTCAGCCTTTCCTGAGAAGAAAGAGCATACCACTGCAGGATTTCTATTTCTCTAGCTGCATTCTTAGCTTACAGTGATGTGGGTGGTAGCCAGATGTCCTTGTACTTGTCCTTGCAACATATCTCTAAGAAATTATGCTTTATAACATTATGTCTGGCATCTTTCCTATGGTTAATCTTCTCTGAATTCTCTTCTTTTTGCCTTAAAAGAGAAAATGACATTATTTTTTACACTGCCTTACCTCTCAAATTACATTTTCTTAATAATTGTTAATGCTCTTTCCTATTGCCACATGGTGTGAGCTGCAGAAAGAGGAGCTAGTAATATAATGTAATAGTGAATGGAATGTGCAATACATGTTTAAATTAGGGATCAATAACGCTGTTGATTGCATTTACTATTTGCTGTTTATTGCTCTGAAGACACTACATTTTTTATTCTTTGCTGAAACTGATTTACATAAAATGTCCAGGAATTAAGAAACTGTGCTTGACCTTACTTTGAGGAAAAGGAGGAGGCAGCACATAGGATATACAGTGCTGTCTCCATTTTTGAACTTCAGTTTTTATCTTGACTTTATGCAAATTTTTTAGCCAGTGACCTGTGATTGCCATAATTGATGTACTGACCAAACATAGTTTTTGTATATACACTTGGCTTATTTGATCCTTTTCCCATATTGCAGCTACTGAGAAACACAGCCTTTAAGACCTCTGCATTTCTTCTTTTTGTATCCCATTTACTTGAAGGGAGTTTTACCTGTAAGGAACATTGTAGCAACAGACTTCCTCTACCTCTGGCTGATAAAAATTTTATGATGAAAGTATTATGATCTAACTTATCAGTGTAAGACAGACCGTCAAAGTCCATCCTTAATTTATAGCCTATAATGATGTCTAAGATCCAGAGCTTTTCCTATGTGAACTTACACTTTTCTGACAGCATACCCTGAGCTCTTACTGAAGGCTAGTACAACTTCAAGAGATTTCACTTTTTTTTCACTTGACTCAGCATTAGAATAACATCAGAATCTTTGTGCCTGTGTGTTTGGGCCAGCTCAGGCAGCACTGCCACCCGGGCACCTCAGGGCTCCTGGAGTGCAGCTGAGACAATGGCACGATGAAGAACAACAGGCTTCTGTGCTACATGGTGCCAAGCTGTCAGTCTGTGCTCTGTACTGACAGAAAACTCTGAGGACTTTGGGTTTGTCTCTCATTCTCACTGTCAAGATGTATGAGAGTTTAGAGGGCCCTCCTGTATGTGCATTTCCATCCACCGCTTTTCTTCATAAGTAAATGCATCATGGTTTGGCCCTCTCTGTGCAACTTCAAGCTGGTTGGATGGAAGAGTCTGGGCAAAGGAGATAAAGTATTGCTGCTTTCTGAATGGAGAGCTTTGAAGGGTGGTGGTGGGCTGCATTGCAAGGGCAAAAGAAAGTGATGGGACATACGGCTTTTGAGTCGCCTTCTTTTACTGAATAAGTCATTATTTTCTGAGAACAGGTTTTACTTCAATTAAAATAAGCTAATTTGGCAGAAAAATAAATATAAGAGCAACAAATGCATGTGCTGTTAAAAGCAAAGCTTCTGAAAAGTAGCCTGTGAGTTTGCATACGCAAGTTCTGTAGGGATAAATAAAATGCTCTATGGTAGTATTTCTTTTGTTGAAGATGTCTTGATAACAAATACGTGGCTTTCGAATTTTGCAGCTATTGAATCCCCTCCCACAATGCCACCAGCATGCAGGTGCATGTATGGAGGAACATGTTATATAGATGAAACTGGTCTTCCGAAATGCAAGTAAGTCACTATGTTGTTAGGGTAGTCCTGGGGTCAGATTGTGCTGATTTAGTCTCACAAAACAATTAAACTCTTTGAAATGTACTGGAAATGCTTCAGGAAATGTCATACATCTACAGTAGCATGTTTGTAACAATCACAGAAAAACACATATGCATAAAAATATCAGCAAGTAAGCAATGTAAATGCATCAGTTTGGAAAAAAAAAACCACCAAAAAACCAGAAAGGCAAACCTCTGAATATTCTAGTAAAAGGCTATACTAAAAAATTGTAAAAATGGAGAAGTTATGCTCAGTAAATGTAGCTTGGAAGAGCCAGTAGGTGCCACCGGCGCTCCGCTGAAACCGAATCTTTTGACTTCAGTGACTAGTTTTCTGACTCAGCACTTTTATTTCCACTTTTAATTCTATGAAGATAGCAGACATACTATATTTACAGTCAGTGAAATACGTAATTACTGAGCATGGAGTTACGATTTATGGCCTGTAGATAAACATTACAGAATATAATAATAAAGCTGAGACCCTAGGCTTAATAAAAGCCATTCAGTCAGCTGTCCTTCTTACATTTACAGGTGTTCTTATGGCTACACTGGGAATTATTGTGAAATAGGATTGTCAAAGGGAGTGCCTCCTGGAACAAGTAAGCTTCAACTATATATTACACTTGATATTTTGAGCTAAAGAATGTATCATTCTACAATACCTGTTCAGGGTCAAGCTTATAATTCTCTGGGCTCTTTTTTACAATGAACTATGCTTGCTTGAATGTTTGCTTGTTCTTCTGTCTTTGATAGCAGCAGTAGCAGTGTTGCTGACAGTCATACTAATCATAATAATTGGAGTGTTAGCAGTTGGAGGCTTTTTTAACTACAGACGAACAGGCTCCCTTTTACCAGCGCTTCCCAAACTACCAAGGTATGTTTTGAAGGCTTTCATAGCTGGCATGTCTGTGCACTGAAAACGCGTGTTTGTTCCTAAATATTTCTGAAAAATCCAGTTTGTTTGCTGTGTGCCCATTCTGTTGGAATATGGGAAGTGCAGCGTTGCAGCAATTCCAGTGGATTTTTGATTCCAAGCAATATCATAGCTGATCATTATTTTGTAACAAAGGACTATTGTAAAACTCTTCTGCATTCTAAATTAGCTTTTAAATAATGAGCAATACAGAAAACTCTTTACCAGATCTGGAACTGGATATTTAGTTCAAAAAGATACAAAAGACCATAGTTACATATGTTTTAATTTTTTATAGAACTTTGTCAGAAGATCATTCTGGCAAAGAGATCTTTTTAACATTGAAAGGCTGAGCTTGTCTGCAACACTGTATTCATCTGTTTAAAAATAATGTGTAGTGAATTTCTATCTATTTCCAGTGCCTGAGAAATCTGGGCTTTTTGTAGGTCACTGCTCTCCTGACAGTCATACTGTCCAGTGAAAACCAGCTTTGTGAAATATCATTCAAAAATATTTGATGTTTTAAATCAAAGGAAGATGAAGAAAAAAAAAATTTAAATTAATTTTTTTAAAAAATATGTCAGAATATGATGCTTCGAAATTTCTTTAGCTTTAAGCAAATTATGTGTTTTTAAAGGCAAAACTGCATCTTCATAGTCTTTGCACCAATTTCACAGTAGTAGCTCTTAAATCAGTGTAATTAAATCATTGTAATCAGTAATGTGGATGTAGCTATAACTGCTTCCTCACTGAACTAATTAAATTTATTTTTGACTTGACGCAGTTAAATTGGGGCAAAATTTTTGTGCAGATCAATCCTGCAGGACAAAAAGTTTGTAAGAGATCTCCAAGCTGCTCACTGAAATTCCCTGTTTCTTGCTTTCTTGAATGGAAATTTTCTGCATCATCAGATAGTGAACAAGTAGAAATTTTAATGCACTGACTTGAACTTTACTGTTCAACAATACTTCTCATATAAGTTATGAGGCCATGAGATGTCAGGTTTTTGTCTGTGAGGCTTGATTCACAGTTTTCGTTTCTGCCATGAATATGCCTCAGTGCTGCCATTGTTCAATCCCTCTTTAAACTGTTAACTCATACCTTTACTGCAGAGTTAACTCAAGCTATAGCTTAGCTGTTACCCTTAACATGGAAGTTGTCCATGTACAGGAATCATAGCTAAGATTTGTGTTTTTTTAAATTGAATCAGCTGATGCCTACGGGGCAAACTGGTAAAGTGTGTGCACAACGCACCAGCTGTAGGCAAGAGTTTTAGCACAAGCCAGCTCCAATGAGGACACACAAATGGAAAGATTATTTCAATGCTTCTGTCTTCCTTCAGGTTAGGCAAATTTGACAAAATTAACTCAAAGGTTAACTCTGCAGTGGATTTGTAGTTGCATGCTTTTGGGGAGTTGCATGTTGAGAGTTCTGTGCGGAATGTCCTATATTTGGCTACTCATTACTATCTTTCACTGCTGCTATTATTTTGAGCCTGACAGTGTTCTTTCAGCCCATTTCCAATATTTCTCATGCAAATGTAACGTGCACTTGTGGCTACCATAAATCTATAAGCAGATTGAACATTTGCTTATATGAAAACAGTATTCTGTAGGTGTCTTCATGATTTGCATGCATAAACATCTTTAGTATAGGTGTTGTTGGAATTATATCCACAAATTTGTATGCCGTTTCAGCTGCATTTTTTTTAAATCAGTTTAAATGAATTTGAATAACTGAGTGGATTCATGCATTTGTCTGTAAATCAACACTGAAGTAAGAGTAGTCAAAATGTAGGTAAATTTGGGGGAATTGTAATTAATTGAGTTAATTTGATGTGGCTACATGAGCATACATAAAGATAGTTGTGATCATTCTGAATGGGCTAACTTAGGTTAAAAAACCCGTTGAACTAATGCAGGAATACTACTTCTGGTGCCCTCGTTAGCTTGCTTAGAGCCAGCAAAAATTCCAAGTGATAATAATGCTTAGAAGAATAACTAGAAGAATCTGTTTTATAAGCTCTCTTTCTGGTTTTTTGTTTTGTTTTGTTTTGTGTGGTTTTTTTTTTTTTGTAGTTTAAGCAGTCTTGTAAAATCTACTGAAAATGGCAATGGGGTAACTTTTCGATCTGGGGCAGATGTGAATATGGACATAGGAGTCTCTGGCTTTGGAGGAGACTCTGCTATAGACAGAGCAATGCAAATGGTAAGGTTTAGTTCTGAAATAATTTTTTAAAATTGTGTTCTTTTAATGTCACTTTTAGCTGATAGAGGGAAGTCTTTTATGTAAAAAAGATAGTGAGATGATAAATGTGTTCTAGAAAAAGAAGTGAACATTGATTGATAATTTCCTGAAATAGATTTTTGTAAATTGAAGGCAAGGACAAATGCAGGCTGTTCTTCAAAATAATGTGACTATTCTCAAGATTTATATGATAGAAATTAAGTCGATTACCCCCTTTCCTATTTCAGCATATTAATGGCATATACAGGGAATGAATAGGCAAATGAAAATATTGTAACAAGGAATTTTTTGAGGGCCTTTGTGTTCTATAGAACAGATTAAAATGTGTCATTTTCAAATCCAGACTGTATGTTAGAAACTTCAGAGGTAAAACTCAGGTCTAGCCACAGGATACACTACTTTGCACAACAAATTATACGTTGGACAGTTTCTTATTTTAGCAATTTTAAACAAATAATGCTTAATAGTTTTGGGGACATCATAAAGTGTAACTCTATTTCATCCATGTTTTGTTATGCACATCTGAGAAATAGCACATCCTTGTGTTTCCTATACTGTATAGTTTTTCCATGGAAAAAAAATTCCTGTTTACCACAAGAAGTACAATGTATAAAAGATTCTTACTTATAGGAAACAGATCACAGATATGTTTGAATAATAAGCACTTGCTGCAAAGTCTACATTGGGAACTCCCTAAACTTTTAAAGTTAAAGATAAATTACAGACTTAATTGACAGTAAATTAATATTAAATGAAACAGATAGTGAAGATAAGCTCGTAATATATGTATATGACCTTTTTCTAGATGAAGAAACACACTCTTTGTTAAAACTGGGCAGCTCGTGTAATGAAACAACCATATGAACATTTCAGTAAATACTGGGAAAATAGCTTTAGGCTTGAATATTACCTCACATCTTTTCCATGCATGAAAAACTTTATGGTACTTTCCATTTTCTGGCCAAATATTGACATACTGAAGTCCAGCTGATGTGGTTTTTACATTGCTAATAACAGGTCTAGATACAGGCTATTTCTACTTAGTTGGCATTAATTCTCCCTATGTATTCAGAGTATAAACAAAAAATTGTATAGTTCACTAGGAAAGAATTAAAAGGGTTTGGTTTACGGCAGCGAAGAACTGTGGGATGTGCCTCCTAAAATCTTGACATCACATATGCATGAGTAGATCTTAGAGGGCTGGTTTTCGGTGTGGCTGTTCTTAGTCAAGCTAGGCTAATTTGAGGGAGCCGACGAGAGTTCACTGTGTGGTAAAGAGCTATACTCTGATAGCACAAAGCCTGAATCCTTAAGGCATGAAGCATGCAAGGAGCAGGACAAGTGAGTCTGAGCGGGGTTTTGCTTTCATTACCCTTCTACCTGTTGGTGTTTAGCTGGCTAGCCCTGGGTGGCTATCCTTATGTGGCACTAAATATTTTCTTAAGAAATACTTAACTCAGCACCTTTGCCCACCTGCTGCGAGCACCGTAGCTGCAGCTCAGGGTTTGGTACAGTATGTGTGAAGTAGCTGCTACCCACACAGTGGTCTTCATGCATGGGCAAAGTATTGATTTATAATAAGAGATATGCTAAAAACTGTGAAACATTTTATTTCTGACATAACTCATAACTAAGGGGATGCACTTACTGCTTTGTCTCAAAAAATATAGCAATCTCCTTGCTGGGACAAAATGAATGAATCCCATTCTTTTATATTTCAGATAGTGCTTATTAATTTTTATGTCATTTTGAAGTCTCTAAAATTAAATATTTATTTTGGGATTATGCTTCCTTTGATATCTCTTCCCTGTTGAAGGTTTGATTTGTGAGAGTCATTTTTCCTTATCATAAAATACTTTGAGTCAATTATTGAAATGTGGGGGGTTTTTTGTCCAGCTAGGAAATGGGGTAATATTGGAACAATCAGGTCCAGGCTGCTGGATCAGAGGGACTAAAACAATGCATGGTAAACTAACGTTATGATTTTAACAGATGCTAGATTTTGTCTAAGCCTATGTGAAAGTAAACATGCATTGTTCCCTGAGATGAAGAATTGGACTATAAATTAATTCCTAGGAATATGGATGTGTTTATTGCACTGCAGTTGTTGTTTTGGGTTTTTTCCTTCACAGAATGAAAACTTTGCAGTGGAGTTAGGGAAACAGCCGATCACATTTGAAAATCCAATGTATGCAACCAGAGATGGTGGAGCCAGCACAGCCAGTGCAGTTACAGTCGTTCGGCCAACACATGTAAGAGAACCTTAGACTGGACTTTCATGTTTCATTTTCCTTTATGACCTTTTTTGCTTTGAAGAACGTTGATTTTCCTTCTTCTCCTACAGGTAGCAGCAGCTGGTAGTGAGGAAAAAAATGAAAATTTTGAAAATCCTGTGTATGCCTCTGTGATATCTGCTAGTCTGAAGGAACCCCCTCAGAGTACAGATGCACCTCAGGTAGGACATAGAAATGCTTTAAGGCTGCTTTGTTTGTTTTGTGCTCCAAATCAGGGAAATTGAATTGTTAGGGAAGCTGCAATATAGTTTCAATTCTCTTTAAATAATGCCATGGAGTTGGCGCATAATCTGCATCAAGTCCAACTAACTGGACCATATTTACAAAAGCTGGTCAGGAACAGTTTGATAAGAGAAAAGCAGCGCAAGCACAGAATTGCCCAGGGCACACAGTAAGGATCTATTTGGATTAAACCCCCTCTTCTTCCTGGCCCACCCAGTTATTTTGAAGTGAACAGATTGGAACAGAGAGTTTCCTTTCACTGTTGTGCTTCATTCTGAGGGCAGATACTAGTCTGAAAATTGTAGTGTAACTGCTGTAAATTATCATTGCTCCCCAGCAGAAATTATTATAACTAAGGCTTTACTTTGGACTCCTAACAATTATTTGTAAACCCCTAATGAATTATACCTTGATAGAAGCAGCGTGTGGGGTATTTTTCTCTTTTTTCCCCTATAAATATGAAAAGAAGACCCAAGAAAAATTACATTCTGATTTAAAACAGTGAAAACCCAGGGGTTTTTTGGTACAGAAAATTGAAATGAGACATTTAATCAGTGTACTGTCATCATTTTTTTCACGTTTGTTTGTAATTTTATCTATATTTAAAAGTGCTAGCAAGGACATTTAAGAAACTCGTTCACGTGTTCTTGCAGGACATTTTAACAATCAAGAACAAAGTATTGCCTCATCTAGATTATTCATGGTTCATGGAAGATACATTTTTATGTCTTAAAAATCATCTGAATGAGCTGATGGTGGCTTTTTTACAGGACTATTTTCACACATTGTGTACTAAAAAGCACCTCTGATGAGCTTTGAAATGACAGCTCTGTCAACCTGTTGTAGTTTCATGTCCCTCAGTAATTTCCCTTGTATTGTTTTCAAGACCATTTTTTTTCCTCTTTGAGCTATCTGTCTGGAATGATAGGCTTCCACGAATTAGTCACTTCTATTGCCTTCTGGCCTAGCCTTGTGAATACTGCTTTAGGTAAAATAACCATAACTGGTTATCTAGCAGAAAAGAAAGTTAAGTCCCATGCTTAGAATTACAGCATGGTAATGTAAGAACATCCAGCTGAAATCACTGAGTTAGCAGTCAGTGCAAGTGAAATCCAACAACAGTGATGTCAGTTTCCAGAGAAGTTGTGAGAAAATGTGTAAAGTTCTAATAATTTTTATATTTCAGGAATCAAAGTGGAGTTTCTTCAAGAGAAAAATGAAACAAAACACTAATTTTGAAAACCCAATATATGCGGAGGTATTGCTTAATATTGTATAATTCTATTTTTCAGCTAATGTACTGCTGGACTTTGTTATTGCTTTCATAGGATAAAGATTATGGGTAGATTCTGCTGCTAAGTGAAGCAGCACAGAAATTCTAGCCCAGGTCAAGGTAGGACTGAAGTGGTTTTGAGAAAAGTTATGAAGT